TTGCTAAATTGTTTGTTGACAGATAATACCAGATTCTGTTTCTATTTTGCCTAAATTGCAGCCTGTGCTAGAATTTTGTATTTGACTTTAACATTTCTTAAAATGTGTTTATCCTTTAGGATACAACTTGATAATACTTTATTTCAGTATAAGATGGACTGGTAATTGCTGAGAAGCCTAGTTTGATAGCACCAAACTTTTGTGTTCTTGGGGAGCAATAAATTTGCCTCTTTTTAAAATGCCTTGAAGAAAATCTGTTGAGAGTAATATTATACAGTCTTTAAAAGCATATTTTTGAGTATACTGACATGAAAAATACTCTAGGTGTAAGTAAAATTGGTAGGTTATAAAATTCCATGTTCAGGGGCTGGGGTTGTAGCTCAATGGTAGTGCGATTACCTAGTATGTGTGAGGCACTGGGTTCAATTCTCAGCACAGCATATAAATAAATAAATAAATAAATGGAGAACATCTAAAAAATATATTAAAAATAAATAAATAAAATTCCATGTTCAGCTTAATCTCACCTAATTTTTTTTTTTTTTGCAGGGAATGGGGGAGTACTGGGGATTGAACTCAGGGGCACTGGACCACTGAGCCACACCCACAGTCCTATTTTGTATTTTATTTAGAGAAAGGGTATAACTGAGTTGCTTAGGGCCTTGCTAAATTGCTGAAGCTGGTTTTGAATTCACAATCCTCCTGCCTCAGCCTTTCGAGATGCTGGGGTTACAGGTTACACCACCATGCTCAGCTAAATATTTTTAAAGTATAGAAATATACCAAAATATCAAGACTGGTTTCTATAATGGTGGAGTTTAGAATGATTTTAATTGTTATTTTATGTTTGTTTTGAGATAGTGTCTCACTGTGTTGCTCAGGCTGATCTCAAATTCGTGAGCTCAAGTGATCCTCCCACCTCAGTCTCCCAAGCAGCTCAGATAATAGACACACATCACCAGACCTGAAATCCATCCCTTTTTTGTTTCCTAAATGTTCTATGATAAATATGCAACTGTTATAATTAAAAAGGGTTATGATTTTCTTTTCTTTTTTTTTCCAGTGCTGGGGATTGAACCCAGGGCCTTGGACATGTTAGGCAGATGCTCTACTGCACAGCTATACCCCCAGCTCTGAAAAAAAAAAAGTTATTTTAAAAGCTACTTTCAGTGTGTGGATGGACGGATGGGTAGTGGTGCTTTGATGGCACAATATTGATCACAGAACAATAAGGCTAAAAACAGCTAATGTGTCTTTCCATGCACACTTTCAGTTTAAAGATACCCAGAATCTTCAAAGTCTGGTAAAAGTAATGTCCTGGGCCACAGGAACTGCACCTGAACCTCTGCCATTCCAGACAAATCAGACTACCTCATCAGAACCAGTTTGTACCCTCTATCTGCATTGCCACTGTGCCTTCAATCCCACACTCCCCTCCATTAGATGGCTGGCCAGCCCTGGGTCTTTCCACAGCCTAATGCATCAGTGGAAAGCTTTTAAATATTCAGGAAGTAGTTTAACAAGCACAGGGTATCAGATTGGCAAGGGAAAAAGTTGTAAAGATCTGTTTCATGATAATGTGAATGCTGAATTACTGAACTGTACATTTAAAAATGGTTAAGATGGTAACATTTATGTCTTTTTTTTTTTTTAACTATGGTGTTTAAAAAAAGTAAACTTGGGGCTGGGGCTGTGGCTTGGTGGTAGAGCGCTCACCTAGCACATGGGAGGCACTGGGTTCAAACCTCAGCACTGCATAAAAATGAAATAAAGCTTTTATGCCCACCTGCAATGAAAAAATAAAATATATATATTTCAAAAAAGTAAACTTAAAAATATTCAGTTCAGAGGGCTGCAACACACAGAATAAATCCAGTGAACCTGAACATATCTTGCTGAAATCATGAAGTGGGTCAGAATATACCACTCCCAAACATGAAACTTTTACGTAAGGATTATTTTGAGTTAAAGGCAATTAAGAAATAGCAAAGATTGAGGATGTGATAGGCTCTTGCCTAACATGTGTGAGATATTGGGTACAATCCCCAGTACTACACACACAAAAAGATACTTTATTTTCCTGAATTTCAAATATATATAATGATTCCAGAAAATAAAAATAAATAATATATATCTCCAGCACAAAAAAAGTCGAAGTACAGTGGCACATGCCTGTAATCCCAGCTCCTCAGGATATTGAAGCAGGAGGACTGCAAGGTTGAGGTCAGGTTTGGGGGAGTGGTGGAAAAGACTATTTCTCTAACCAATTTTTATATCTAACAATTTGATTATAGACCACTTTGTTACACAATGCTATAATAATATTCTATGCAAATAACTGCTTAGCAATTAATAACTGAATTTTTAAAAAGTGAATGAAATGTCTGCAGAAGGTACATTTTATCAAGTACTAATTACATCATTGCTATGTTTTTACTCCCTGATTCAATCTTTAGTTTTGAAACAGATCATTAACAAAAATGATTTTAAATCTTAAAAATATCACCCACATTCAGTAGAAAAAAAAATTAAAAACGCATCTGTGGACTAAAATTTACATTTGTGAAATAAAAAATAGTACAACTTGCAGCACTCCCTTGTTTCACTCTTAAATTTTAAAAACTAAAAACCCCAAGTGATAACATGGAATAAAGAAGAGGAAATCCCTGAAATCCTGTTTTTCATCTCTTTTAGAGGGGGTACTAGGCACCAGGGGTACTTTACCACTGACCTACATTCCCAGTCCTTTTTATTTTTTTTATTTTGAGACTAGGTCTTACTAAGTTGCCGAGGGTCTCCCCGTTAAATTGCTCGGACTTGACATCCTCCTGCCTCGTCTTCCTGAGTCACTAGGATTACAGGCATGTACCTCCAATCCTGACTCTGTTTCTTTATCTTTATGGTGATGGTGCAATCACTTTGTATTTTAAATCTTTTCGGTAAATGCAGGCATATGTAGCATCACAGTGGGAAGACAAACTACATCTAAGATCTGGAATGCTTATCAACTTGAATTTGAAGGAAACCTAGCTAAGTCAATGTAAGGCACAGGGGCAACTCTGTGACTCAGAGTATTGTCAATAATATTCAATGTAAAAGGCATTGTCTAGGAGCTGGGGTTGTAGCTCAATGGCAGAGCACTTGCCTAGCACATGTGAGACATTGGGTTCAATACTTAGCACCACATAAAAAAATAAATAAAATAAAGGCATCTGTCCATCTACAACTACAGAAAAAAAAATTTTTAAAGGCATTGTCTACCAACGAATAAGTAACAAAATAAGAAATATTTTTCAAAATATTTTCAAAATAAGAAAAATCAACTTTTTATAAAATGTCTATTAAAAATAAATTACACATAAAATTAAAATTCCCAATAATCAAGCACTTGGTCAGAATTTAAACCAACAAAATATCTTTGAAGGGAGGAGTTTTTCATCACATCATGTTCAGAAATGTTGAAACATGGTGATGATCAAAAGCAGGACTTTAGCTGTTTTTATTATTGCTTTTAAATCCCCTACAAGCTGGGTGTGGTGGCACATGCCTCTAATCCCAACCTCTCAGGAGGCAGGCAGATTGCAAATTCAAGGCCAGTCTGGGCAATCTAGTGAGACCCTGTCTCAAAATAAATGGGCTGGGGATGTGGCTCAGTGGGAAGGAAGGGAGGAAGGAAGGGAGGGAGGGAGGAAGAAATTCCCTCCATCAAGTGGACATCCTTTTATCCTTTTATCTCCATATCTCCACCTGGATGGACTACTTACTTCCTTTGGTATACCACTGTTCCATAGTTTAACTTCTTAAAGTTGGTTTTGTTAATTTTGTCATATTTTATAATGCATTTACGTTTTGTTAGGAAAACATTAAGAAATCATTTTTGTCTTTTCTTTTCTTTCTTTCTTTTCTTTTTTTTTTTAATTGAACTCAGGGATACTCAGCCATTGAGCCATATCCCCAGCCCTATTTTTTATTTTATTTAGAGACAGGGTCTCACTGAGATGCTTAACACCTTGCAGTTGCTGAGGCTGGCTTTGAATTTGTGATCCTCCTGTCTCAGTCTCCCAAACCTCTGGGATTATAGGCCTGTGCTACCGCATCCGACAGGAATCATTTTCTTAAATAAACAAAGCTAAAACCTAAAATTTTTTAAGTAATAAAAATGAACACCTAATGACTTATCTGTGTACTTGAATTTCTTAAATGGAACAAATTCACTGGAAAAGAATTAGAAAAGGACACAAGTGTGGAAAATGTAAACTGTTAGAGGATCCAGATGATGGTCCATGAGTGAGCATGGCAGGGGGAAAGACATGGTGCTGGTAAACAATGCCCAGCCCAAAGTGGGCAGGTGACATGGGGAAGGGCCACTGTTCTGCTACTTCCAACCATATCCTTGCCAGGACAGGAGCCCAGTGTACCCAGACCTGCTAAATTTGTTGAGGAGTTGATAATCTAGATGGCAATTTAAGAGTGGATTTGGGGAATGGATGTGGCTCAGTTATACAGCACTTGCCTAGCATGTGGGAGGCTCTAGGTTCAATTCCCTGAAACACAGAAAGAAGGGCGGGGGGGGGGGGGGGGGGGGGGAATCCTTGATTTTTAAATGTTGGAAGGTTGGAAGTTAATTCAAATTCTAGAAAACACTGCAGAACAAACAAAATACATCTACAGCTGCAGTTCGTCCCCAGGCTACTAATTCCCTAATAAAAAATGCAAAACTAGCAGCTGAACCAGTTTAAAGAGGTTGAAAAAAATAAGCTTTCTTCTCGGATCTTTTTCCTTTCCTAAAATGTGATGTCTCAGAAAAATTCAGATAAATTTATATCGGACACAAAATTATGTGCAGTTTAACAAGAAAAGTAGCATAATTAGGGTAGGTAGCTGGGAATGGCCTGAACTCCCAGAGCAGTCCTTACTCTTGATTCAGGGCCAAGGATGGTGTCACCAAGATGCCTGCTGACTAACTGATGTACAACAGATTTATTTAACCACTGGCAAACCACATTTCCTTTTCCAGGGCAATAAGTTAAAAGAGTATTTACCTCCCTTGGTTAGAAAGGGAGGAAATACTTCTTCCTCCACTCAGGGCAGCTGCGACCAGTTCTCTCAGAGAAATCATTAAACCTCAAGGATTCGGAGCCCAGAGCCCCAGGACTAGGCTGCAAGCTGCCCTGCCCCCGAAGCAGGAACAGGCACGTTTGGAGAGGTGAGTGTTTTTTGCCCCCCAAAGCTTCACCCTCCTACTCTACCACCCCCAGGCATGTGAGTCAGTAGACTGTAGGTAAGAAAGCCAAACTAAATCCTTTTATCTGAATCTCATTCGAATTGGCATTTGGCATATTAAAAGTGAAGGTTTATTCAAATTAGAGAGAAAAATAGAAGCTGTTCTCCACATTTCCGCAGGGAATCAGAGCTTCGTGTATCTTGGTGAAAAAGATGTAGAGGCTGTCTTCTAACAGACACCCCACCCTACCCCCGCCCCAATATCCTCAAGGCTCAATTGCTGCAGGGGGTAATACAGAATTAAAAGCAGGAATTCGGATAAGGCTTTGTCCTCAGCGGCCTTTAAGAATTTTCTGCTTTAAGTGAAACGCCCCTTTATGGCAGGGTTGCCATGGCTTCTCGCTGTGAACCCCCAGGGCCACTGAGTCTGCAACTGTGAATCCATTTCCATCCCTGGGAAAAGCTTTACAAGGTTCCAGCCTCACTGTGCAACCAAATAAAGGCCCCCAAAGCTAATCTCTCGCCCTGCCCACCTTGAATAATCAAGCCCAAGAAGGGCTCTTATACAATAAGATAGTTATCTCCCCTTATGACAAGAGGGAAGAATTTGAAAGTGACTTTCCATTCTTCACAAATCAACTTCTTTGAGAGAAAATGTCCCTTTGTATATCTCTTTTCCAGTGCTTATGTTCTGGTCTGATTTTTTTTTTCAAACAACAATAGCAAGATTAGACATGACCATTAACAAAAACTAACATGACCAAGTGTATTCTCCCAAATGTCTATTTCTGAAAGTCCGATCAGAGTGTTTGGGGCAAGTATGCTATTTTAACATCAAATGTGAGAAAGAACAGTGATCTCCTTTGTCATATCAAAAGCCAAGTTGCAGACCCTGTTTTTTCCTGGTGGGGTTGGGGGGGGGAGGGGATAATCCATTTAAAAATAGTCCATCTTGTTCTAACTTTTAAAGCTTCACAGGTTAATACAAATCTTGCAGTGTATAATACAAATTTTGCAGTGTATTCTAAAAAACAATTCTCTAATAGTGAGATTTCAAACATCAGTGGAGAAAAACTATCTTTATGGAATGGGAGATCCTGTTCCCCAAAATATTATGATAGAATTTCCCTGAGCACAGTTGGTCCTGCACATGCAAACATGCTTTCAAATAACTTGCAATACTAACCATAACAGGCTTCAGAACTCAAATGATTTAAAAAGAGGTGAAGCTATCATAAAATCCTTTATCCTGTAGAAGTTACTGCTATCCCTTCCTTCTATTCGTTCAGTTTTGTAAACATCTCTTCCAGCAAGGGGATGGAGAACTCAATGGGTAAGCCTCTTAAGAGAACAGTTTCTGGAGTCAGAAAGCCTGACATTAAACTCCAACTCTACCACTTAGGGTAGAGGTTCTCTTAACAGAGTTCCATTTAACTTGAGTTACCAGATAACCAATGTCCCAAACAACTTGGCTCATGATTATTGCATCCTTAATATTTGGGGTGGTAGATAGGTTATCTCTAGTACACCTGAGGCCTCAGCTACTTTTGCACAACTGATCAACTGCAAATCATGCTTAATGACTGACTGTTCAGGAGAGCTCTTCAAACTTACAGCAAACTGGAGTGCACACCAGCAGAGAGATTTTTATGTGCTGTTCCATTTATTTATTTTTTCACAGGCTAATTTCTTTTCTTTCTCCCCCATCCCCAGTACCAGCAATTGAACCCAGGGATTACTAGCCACATCCCAGTCCTTTTTATTTTTTTATTTTGAGACAGGGTTTCTTTTTAAATTGCTGAGGCTGACCTGGAGCCTGCAATCCTCCTACCTCAGGCTCCTGAGCTCTTGGGATTACAGGTTGTGTGCCTCACAGTGCCTAATTTGTGGGCTAATTTCAAAACTAAATAAGCACCTTTCAACTCTGTTGTTTTGGGTAGTGGCTACACATCAAAATAAGAATGCATGCAAATTCTTGGGTTTCCACATGTACTATGCTTAAACTATGCTTCACAATACATGTCATTTCTTTTATGCTTTCTCTGTTCTTTGTTACTTGGTGCTTCCTGCACTGTCACCAAAAAGGAGAAAAAAAAAAAAAAGAAAAAAACCCCGCAAACCATGTTAAATAACCAAACATTTTGAAATCCTCTTTAAAATTGCCTTTTGTGGATGAAATTGTGCTTTTGTGTAGTTACAAAACATAGAACTATTAATAAATATTAATAATGCTGATGCAAAGGAGTGGAACCAGCAGACAGACCTAACTACCCCCTTCACTGACCACATCGATCCTCAGAGACTATTAATAGTGTTTATCTCTGTTGAATCAAGGAACTCCCCAGGGGCAAGAGTGAGAACGCATACATCCTGCAGGGCAATGGGATACTTTTAGTTTGAAAAAGTGCATTCACCCCCATCTCCCAACCCCCACCATGAGAATTACTGCTGTAGAATTTTTAGGCAAAAACAAAATCTTGTGCTTCTCTGGCAGCTGACCTTTTTACGGCCTAACAATGTTCAGTTTCAAATATCACATCGTGAAGTTGATATTAACCTTACAAAAATCAAGATAGTTCTGCAGGCTCGCTACGTACCCAGACTTCTCATCCCTCAACTTTCAGAATTCTGAGTCTTGCCTCAGATACATGGATGTGTCAACATTTGCCAGGGCCACAGAACGTGGGTGACAAGGGATAAAAATCAAACTTTAATTTCCTCAGTGTTAGTAAAGTTCTCTCTCAATGTATCTGTGTAAAAGAAATCAAAAATTAAAATGTCCAATTAACTAATATGTGATTTCATTTCTTCACTGTCGGAGCACCTAAAACCCAGCGCACTGAACAACTCCCCTTTGACAATTTAAGGCTTCTTTTCATTCCATTGCTGCTAATGTAACTTGACTTTTCATAAGCAAAAGCCTACCCAGACAAAGGAGGGAAGGGGGAGGGGGGAGGCTTCAAATCCCTGCTTTTCCAGCCTGCAGCAGGGCAGCTAATAGCGATGGTTTCCAATCATGAAACAAACCTGTTACACAAACATGCTAAGCAAAATAATTAATTTGTACAGTATGTCCACTGCTTACTTTTTTTCCTGGAATACATGATGAATTTTTTATGAAGGGCGGTGGAGGAAGGGAAGAACCACATTCAAAACCCAACATCATTCTTTTCTACAGTGTCATTTGAAAAGCCAGATAAAAGCGGCATGAGGAGGCTGGAAAAAGAGTGTACGACTTAGCGGTTCAGAAAACCACCCTCCATTTCATTCTGGAGCCCGGAGGTTACACCCAGGCATCACAAAAGCTTCTTTCCTCACAACATTAACTGGTAAGTGCTTTCATGTTTGTTTTCCCAAACTGACACAAATGTAGCTGACCTGATGAGGATTCCTGCAAATGATTTATTTACAAAACAGCATTCTGACTCACTATCAAATGACAAAAAAGGAAAGGACTCCTGATAGTTTACAAAATGCTCTGTCTGCAAATTTGTATTTTTGGTCTTGCCAAAAAGTGTTGAGGACGGATCATACAGGACTGACTACAGTGCTGATGAATCCTAAAACATTAAAAGACAGAAAAAAGAAAAAAGAAAAAAAAAAGAAGATGATTGCTGGGGTGGGGGTGGCAGTACAAAGAATGTTCAGTAATTTTCTCAGCTCTTACTGAGATAATAACAACTCACAACTCATAAACTTGGGTTTTAAGTAGTTGTAATCCTTAGTCAAACATCAGTTGTGGAAAGCTCACTATAGAACAACTAGGAGAAACGGAACTCAGAGATGGAAACTTGCATTACCTTTTTTAGGTTACATGGTAGAAAAAACTTTTTACACTGACTTTGTGTGCTTTCCACACCCACCCGCCGCCTACCCCTTTTGAAAGATTAACAGCTTCTGGTTGATTTACTCTCCCATTTCTTTGTTCTTCCTGCAATTTTTGACATTTCGTTATCAATTACCCTTTAGAATTGATACCTAGGTTTTACTCACCACTCTTCTGTCTTGGAACTCTTTGGGGAACCTTATGTCCCTGTCTCCTCCTACTCTATGCCCCTGTCTTCTCATCTTGTAACTCTGGGTGGGTACTGTGTACCCCATTACTCTTGTGTTAAAACACTTTGTGACACCATGTGCACCGTGTGATGGAGCGTCACACTGCAGGAGGGCTCTACACAAATGGGACTTGTGCCTGGTCCCATACACAGCACTCTATGCAGCTGGGACTGTGCCATGTCCCATATGGAGCCTGCCACTCTATAGCTAACGGAGGGCTCAGCTCTTCCAGCTCCCCAGTTGAAGGCTGGGAAAGCAGGGCAGTACCCGACAAAAAAAAAAAAAAAAGAAAAAAAAAAACAAGCAACAAGAGCAGCACACCAGGAGTGCCCTCTCAGGTAGTGGCCAGTATCAGTGGAGGCTTACTAAGCCCAGCACCACTGGAGGATCATCGTCTCTGTGCTTGCTGCTCAGAGCTGTTCTGATCACATCCCCTGGGATTGATCTGACCAGGTATGGTAGGACACATACGCAAAAACAATTGCCAGGAAGAAGAAAGTGTTTCATTATATGCAGGGTCCCCAAGACACAGGAGGCACGGCACCACACAGGCCACTCAGTGAAGTGCGGTAGTGAGCCGGCAGCAGAAGGAAACAGTGGGTGGGAGATTTGACTGTGGTTTTCTAGGGAATGAATGGGCAAAGCAAAGTAAGCAAGCAGTATAAATCTAGGAATGTTCTCGGTCCCTAATTTTTTTTCATGTTTTTAAAAATTGTAGTAAATAACCCTTAGTGCTGGGGTTGTGGTTCAGTGTAGCATGTGATAGGCCCTGAGTTCAATCCCCAGCACCACCAAAAACAAACAAACAAAAATTTAAAAGAAAGAAAAGGAGAAAAAAAAAAAACCACTTTATAGTTACCATATTAACCTTTTTTTTTTTTTTAAAGTATCTAGGGTCATTTTACCACTGAGCTACATTCCCAGCCCTGTTTATTTCTTTTTAGTTGACAGGATCTCACTAAATTGCTCCTGCTTGCCTCAAACTTGTGATCCTCTTGCCTCAGCCTCCTGAGTTGCTGGGATTGCAGGCGTGTGCCACTGCACCTGGCAACCATATTAACCGTTTTTAAATGCACAGTTCAGTAGAATTAAGCAAATTTACATTGCTGTGCAATCAGTCCCCAGAACGTTTCCATCTTACAAATTTGACCTTTATAACTAGTCAACCCGGATTCTCCTGCCCTCCCTCCACTTTCTTTAAAAAATATTTCTTTAGTTATAGATGGACACAATGCCTTTATTTACTTAGTTTATGTGGTGCTGAGGAGTGATCTGCCTCTAAGCCACAACCCTAGCCCTTTTTTCTGCATCTCTGATTCTGTCTACTTTCCATCTTTTAGGAATAGGAGCGGGAGGTATTTGTCCTGATCTCGCTGGTTCTTTGTGTTGAGGGCCCTCCACGTTGTTTTTCACAGCGGCTGCCTGGTTTTACATGCCCACCCGGAGTCCTCTTGGGCAACAGCTTCTTCATGTTCTCACCTTCTTCTTGTTCTTGTTTTCTTGTATAGTTGGGGTGTTACGGTTGTGCTGGGGATCAGTACACATGAATTTCAATTTGTCCACAATTTTTAACATACCACACTGAATATTAAGCAGTCATGCAGTCGTGATTCTTTTCTAAATAGTTCCCTGTTATTTTCCTTGCCTAAAAGTTGAAGGCATATTTTCCTTAAGATTGGGATATTGATTATCAATATCTTCAAATGTTGATCAGCTATTAATTCAGAATTTAATATCATACAGGTTCAAATTTTCAGTTGTCCACAGCGTGCTAATGTGTATTAGGGAAACAGGATTCGCATGACCAAAGATGTAACGGAGCACACACAGCTGTGACAGGCGAGCCAAGAGCAAGCAGAGGTTTTCTTTAGGAAACAATTCTATTAAAAACAATGTGGGGATGCAAGTAATTTAAAATGTTCACGACACATTAATCGAAGGATTGTGGCTCTGAACTGCCATTTTATACACTTTTGTTTTATAAATATAAATTTCTTCAAATTTGGTTTTGAGGTTACCTGACCAACATTGTCCTCCCCACACCCCTCTTTTTTTTTTTTCCTTTTTCCTTCCTGTCTTGTTTTAGGCTTTTAGCCACTTGAGGCTATGGTTCTTATATTCTGTTTCTGGTCAGAAGGAGGAAATGGGGAGTGGGGAGCAACAGTGGAACTGGCGTCCCTAGGCAATGGCTTCTTCTTCCACCCTTTTATTTCCTTTTGAGTAAAATCTTTAGAATGGTCTAGGCAGCTAAAATACATTTTCCCTGTCTCACTGGATGATTGCCTGTCATGCTCGTGGTAATACCAAGCAGCTCCTGTGTGAGCAGAAACCTCCATTTTCAGCTGCCACTGGCCCCATTTGTAGTCAGCTGCTGCCCTCTCTAGAGTGTACTCACTGAATTTAGAGGGACAAAGAACTATAGAAGCAAAGCAAAGGCCCCAAATGGAGACTGCGGGCTTCAGCCTTATCTCCCCTTTGCTGGTGCCACTGGTTTGCTGTTTTGAGATCATTCTTATCTAGGTTAGAACACATACTCCTGCTATGACTTCCTGGCTCAGTGGTTCCCTTGATATGGGAATTAATTTCCTGCACACTTTCAGTCCTCAACCTCCCTTTGGGTGGAGGTAATAACCTTGCAAGCTGATCCAGGCTCAAGGGTCCTCCTTCTGGCGAAAGATGGAAGAGGACACTCTGTTTTTAAAAGTCCTGTCTTGTCAATCATGCCTGGGTGGTACGTTCTCCTTGTTAGTTAGGCCAGAGGTGTGGGTCACTTTGCTCTCTTTGGGAGGACTTGGCGCTGAAACTGGCAACAGTAACTCTTTAGGGTGGGCGCAGCAGGCAACAGGGTGGAGGTGCAGGGCAAGTGTTTGATTGACAGAACTTCAGCACTCAGAGCTGCTTCCCAGCACAGTTAGGACTCCTGGGAGAGCCACAGAGAAGGTCAGGGTATTTTGTTGTGCCCCTCATGGCCATAACCACATACCCTGATGGCTAAGCCATTTTATCTCCCTCTGATTTGGTTCTGAAAGTGAGAGAATAAGACCTAGCTTTGCCCCTACCAGGGATCCAGGAAGGTGGTCATGGGTGTTACAGTGCTTCACACAATATTTCTTTAGATTGACCTAATGTCTGAATGTCCAAACTGTGACCAGGTGTCCTTCACAGAGGAAGCTTCTTTGTAAAGATGTTCCTCAAATTATGATGGGGTTACATCCAGATAAACCTATTGTAAGCTGAAAATATCTCATGTTGAAAACAGATTGAATTACACCTCGCCTGCAGAGCATCGTAGCCTAGCAACGCAGCGCACTGCAGAGTATTGATTGTTTCCCCTTGTGATCACAGGGCTGATTGAGAGCGCTGGCTCCTTGCCCTGCCAAGCATCTCAAGAGTGCGAACTGCTGCATATTGCTCATCCAGGAAAAGATCAAAATTAAAAAGACGAAGTAAGGTTTAGATTAAATGCATATCACCCACCATCTTAAAATCGAAATTCTTAAGCGGACATATAAGTTTGGGTCCATAGGTACTGGCAGATATCTTTGAGGCTCTGGTGTGTCTTTTGTCCAGTTTATTCCTATAAAGACATCACCTCTCTAAGACAGCCTTGACCCAGAGGACACTGTGTCAGGGGGACTGGTCAGGTGAGACACAAAGGAGGCAGCACAACAGTGCATATGAAATAATAGGAGCACTGTATTAATTACAGATCCCAGAGAGAAGAGGCCAGTGAGGGGAGCTAGCCTCGCAGAGCCAACAAGGGGAGACTGGTAGAATACACATGCTCCACCAGTGGGTGAGGAGCAAGAAAGACAGCATGAGGGACCCAAAGATTGTTAGGGCCCAGGAATAACTCAAGCAGGTTACCTATGTTGTTTTTTTGTTGTTGTTGTTTTGGGTTTTTTTTGGTTTTGGTGTTAGAGATTGAGCCCAGGAGTGCTTCACCACTGAGCCACATCCCAGTCCTTTTTATTTTTTGAGACAGAGTCTTGCTAATTTGCTGAGGCTGGCCTCAAACTTGCAATCTTCCTGCCTCTACCTCCCTAGGCAAAGAATTATAGGTATGGCTACCACATTTGGCTCCCATAGGGAGTTCTAATCAATGGGTTTAGAGCAAGCAGGCATGAGTTCTGTGGAGGCGTCACTATGACTCACAAGTGTTCACTGTGGCACACTATGACTCACAGGTGCTCACTGTGGCATATCTGCACTGCCTGTGGGGTCTTGGGGTTAGTGAGGAGAATTAAGAAGGTTGTAACTACTTATTCCATAG